TGAAGAAGAGGTTGCTGCCCTCATAGCTGATGTCACCCCTACCACCAGTAGGCTACGTCTTAACGTCCGAACTCGAGCAATAGCCAGGACTCGGCAGAGCGAACGAGTTAGGGCAACAGTGAACAGAAACCGAATAACAACTGCACAGCAAATTCAGGTATTGGGAAGTGTCCAGATAGCCTAGAAATATGAACTTAAAATTTAAAATCAAGTCTCTGAAAGGCTCTCTTAAGAGAGTTAAAACAAGCCCGCTCATTACTAGCTCAGCAGGTTTGGTAGCAATGGAATTCTGATTGTCCAGGATTAAATAATTGCATTCTGGTAAATTGAGACTAATTGCAGTACCAGTTGTGCAGTGTGTGAGCAAATCATATAGATGCAAAATTGATTTGAGAAGTCCACTAATTTGCAGACCGCTCTGGAGACCTGCATTTTAATACTTGAGTCACAAGTGGAATTGAATTTATCCTTCTGAAACCCCAGAGGATATTAGTCCACAGTGCAAAGTCCTCCCACAGTTGTGCAAAACTGTTAGTTTTTTTTCTTCCGTGGTCATGATTGGAATAACTAGGGTCCTCCAGATGAGAACTACTGAAGTGCATTGAAAACTCAGGAAGCTCTTGTATAGGCTTTAGCCAATGCTGTTAGGGCTTCACTTGCATAAACCTGAAAATTCTTAATTCACGCCCCAACCTGTCATGGCTTATAGACTGTTTAGAGGTTATTTCTGTACCCATGACTGGCAGTATATCTTTGGGTTCTTTTTAATGGTCTCAGACACTTAATTTTTCAGTAACGCTATATGAGGTTATCCCTTCCCTTTCGTTTGCTGGAAGTACAGGAAAACTGGCAAGTTGCAAAACAATCTGTTTCAGTTGTTGAAAATATCTAAGTTGCAACCAAAACGTTCTCTACATACTTGCAAAGCTGCAAGCTTTGTCAAGTCAAATTCTACAGAGATAGTCAAACATAGATAAGAGAAGAAAAGGAGTACTTGTGGCACCTTAGAGACTAACCAATTTATTTGAGCATGAGCTTTCGTGAGCTACAGCTCACTTCATCAGATGCATACGGTATGCATCTGATGAAGTGAGCTGTAGCTCACGAAAGCTCATGCTCAAATAAATTGGTTAGTCTCTAAGGTGCCACAAGTACTCCTTTTCTTTTTGCGAATACAGACTAACACGGCTGTTACTCTGAAACCTGTCATAGATAAGAGAGAAGACAGTAGAAGGGAGAAGAAGAAAAAATAGGTTTCTTTTCATAGTCCAGTGGAGGGTGAGTGGGTGGTGATTGTCAGTTTGAGGTTGGTGTCAGTTTGAGTGATGCGCAAAGTGTCTAATCATCCTGAGGTCTGGTTTGGAAGAAAGCTGGATCAGAGGTGAGATGATGCTTCTCTTCCCTCCCTCCCATCCCCCAATGGTTAAAGCTGGCAATCAGACAAGACAGTAAAACAAAATCTAGATGAAACCTGAGAAAAACCATGGCCTGATGCTCAATAGCCTTGATACCTATAACTAGGAACAAAAAATAAAGAAGAACAAAGTAGAGACATAAAGAAGCAACAAAATGACAAAAGCAGAACAAAAGACCAAGACTTTCCCTTCTAAGTTACTCAGTCTAAGATACCTTGTCTCGGTTTCCCATGGGCTGAGAAGTAATTACTTTCCTTTCAGAGTTTTCCAGTAGTGCATCTAATTCAAACAATGCTATTTAAAAACAGATCTTGAACAAACTCAAAGCAATCTGAAATATAGCAAAAAGTCCAGTCATCAAAACAAAGTGCATGCAAGGTTCCAGCATGCACTGGGTCCTCCTTAACATGGTTTAGGTTAAATGATCTTAGGACTTTCCCCAAAGAGCCCTAATAGGCCTTAAATTTGTTAGTCTCTTTTCTGGAGGTAGGTCATGCCAGATGGTATGTTGACACAACTCCTCACTCCCAATCTTCAGCCCCCCAAATTAAAAAAGGATCAATAACACAGTAAAAATCCCACAAAATGTTGGACGTACTTTTGAAAAATATAGATGAAAGTCGTTGGTAGATGATGTTCCCTTTCTCACCCTAGATGGTAACTGCTTAATACAGTCACACTAGAAAAGTGTTTTGAAATCAAAGGTTTTGCAGGGTAACTGCTAGTGCTTTATTATTCTCTCCCTACCTGTTGTTTTATAAATACAGTGTGTAGCTGTCTCCCTGCAGATGAGAGAGGTGGTGCACGGGGACTTAATCGTTGCATAGTAGTGCAAGACTGGGTGCCAAGTACTTCCTGTTCAAGAAATCATTCCGAGCTCCACTTCTCCAATCTGCAGAGATGATTACAAACTTTCCCTAGAAAGGTATTATTGCTCACTTCATTTTTAAAAAAAGCACACCTCTCTTACTCTAGCTGATACTTAAATTTGACCCGAGAGCTCAAGTAAAAATCCAATAGCTAAGAGAAGCTCTTCTGCTGTGCCCCATGGCACATACAGAAAGGTGTTGATTTCATATCCTCAGTTACCTCTAGTATTTGGGGAAGGAGAAACTTCATTGTGTAATTCATGCATTATTCCAGATGTACCTGGTATAGTTAAAATCTTCAATGTTTAGGTACCCCCTACTCCTCTCGCCTCCCACCCCCCAACAGAAAATGTTTGTGTGTGGCACATGTTGGCATCCACAGAGCTTAAAATGCAGTTCTGCCCTAATGAATACCTTTTAAAGAAAAAGTTTTGTGGGGTGTGTTTCACATTTTAAAGTGTGTTCATTAGTCTTCAATGCTAACACCACATTGAGATGAAATTTCTTCTGTCAGCTATAGTTTGTTAATTTCCCATTTTGTTTACTTTGCAACCATAAAACACTTCTAGAGCAGTTTTTCTGTCCTGTGTATGCCATGTATAGGAGTTTATATGTAAAAGTCATTTTTTGTAAGTTTGTTTACATATTTTATGTAAATATATACAAATGTAATAGGCTGGTACACTGCAAGCATTGTATCAGCATGAGTTATTCTAAAGTAGTGCAATAATATCTCTGAATTTATGGTGGTTTGAAATTGCTTTTCCCCTTGAACTCTCAATGTAATATGTGGTGTAGATGTGGCTTTCACAAAACCATAGCACTTAACCAAGCTGGTTAGGTTAGAGCAGTAGTTCTCAACCTTTCCAAGCTAGTGTACCCCTGAAGCCGAAGCCCCGCCACCTGGGGCTGAAGCATGTAACTTAGCTTCACGGAGCTCCCTGTGGCGTGGTTGCCACCCCCTAACACCAGCCCTGCACTCTGCAACTCCCCTAAATGCATCCTGTGCACCCCCATGTTGAGAAACACTGATCTAGATGAGTAGATATACCCCTGGAACACCTCTGAGTACCCCCAATGGCCCTGGATGAGAACTACTGGGTTAGAGTACGTTGTTGTTGTTTTTTTACCTTTTTACTAAAAGCTGTGCTACCACTGGACAATCAAGGGAGCTCTCTAATCTCCTCTGGATGATCAGAGTTCGGTTAGGTCTACACAACCCACCCCCCTTCCTGGGTTTCAGAGCCTGAGCTTCAGCCCGAGCCACATCTTCAGAGTGCTGTCTGTACAGCTATTTTTACAGCACTAGTGCAAGCCCCACTAGCCTACTCCTGTCAGCCCAGGTTGGCAGCCTGCTTCAAAATGCTGTGTAGAAATACCCTTCACGTCCTGAGTTTCGCACTTTAAACTCAGGACCTTCAGGAGCTGGATCTTGGAGGTGGGTGCGCACCTCTTGTGCAAGGGAAAAGGGACTTGAGCCATGAAATAGTAGTTCCTGCTTATTGCGAGGAAGTGACACTGAAGAGGAGTCTCTCTCTTATCCTTAAGCTCAGCTCCAGGATGTTGGTGTTGAGATTTGCCGCCTTTGGTGTGTCTGTGGGGGTTTAAGGGGAAAATGTAGCCTGAAAAGTGAGGAAGCTAAGATCTTGGGCCCCACACTGCCTCAACTTTGCTTTCATTTTTGGTCAGTATGGATTAGTCCTGCTTTGGGAGAAGCCAGTGGACAGTTGTGTGGGGTTGGGGAGGTTTCACAGTGACAGTGGATGTGATATTCTCCCAACAGAATAAAGCATTGGAGTAAAAATGTCCCTGGCTTTAAACATTGAGGCAGATTTAAAAAGCTATGTCAGTTTTCACTTGAGATGCAGCATGTGCTGGTGATACAAGTGACTTAATGTTAAAGGTGAACCATTTCTTGTTGACAGCCTGATTCATGATGGTCGGGGAAAAGCGAACTTTGGTGCTGAATCACAAATAGTTTTGTTGCACTTGTTTAAAAAGCAATCTCAAACTTTTGTTGCTCATTTACAATATGTATAACTTATGTGATTTCTTGTTCTGAAATGCAGCATGTGCCGAGGTATCTGATGTCTTCTCTTCTTGATGAAACAATTGATGCAGTTGCAGCAGGGCTAAGCACAGCGGTATACCAGCGACCTCTGCAACCACGGGCGCCAGCTAGGCAGAAAAGAAAAACAGGTGAGGGGATCAGAACCCTTCCAGGATTCCTAGTCTACAAAGTAAAAGGTTTCAGTGAACAAAGCATGAGACAAACTGAAAACAGTACAGTAGATATGTCTGCTTACCTCCATGGTACTGCATGATTACATCACTCTAATGCTTTTAAAGAGAACTTGTATTCAGTTAAAAACCAGTGACGCATTTAAACCGAGCTTTTATATCCCTACCCTTCCAACTGCACTATTTAATTCTAGTTTTTGGATCCTTTGCAGCACATCACAGCTTTTTCTTTTGTAAACTTGTTTGTAGTCTGTAGGGAAACTTTACGTGTGTGTGTGTGTGTGTGTGTGTGTACACAATTCTGCTTGTCAGTCAAATACTTTGCTATGCTTGTCTCTTCAGGTAGAAAGAAGAAAGCAGGCAAAAAAAGAACTCAGACAAAGTCTTCCGTTGGAAAAAAGAGTTCAGGGACATGGATCAAGAGACGTAAGCGTCGAGTAAAGAGGAGAAAGGGGAAGAAGATACGAGTAAGTTCAGATATCAGTTTATGCTGGTATAAAAAAGTCTCTGCCATTATTTTAATTTCTCTGGTGTAACACTGTAAGCCATCACACACTAAATACATTGTTTTAATGGCCACAAGCATGACTTGAATACAGGTGAATTATGTACAATGTATATAATATAGTCCTATGAGAACGATACTTAATAGAGGAGCTTTTTTCATCTATTTACTACTCAGTACTGTCTTCAGTAAATTTAGAACGTAAGAGCGGCCATACTGGGTCAGGCCAAAGGTCCATCTAGCCCAGTATCCTGTCTTCCGACAATGGCCGATGCCAGGTGCCCCAGAGGGAATGAACAGAACAGGTAATCCCTCAAGTGATCCATTCCCTGTAGCCTATTCCCAGCTTCTGGCAAACAGAGGCTAGGGACACCATCCCTGCCAATCCTGGCTAATAGCCATTGATGGACCTATGCTCCATGAATTTATCTAGTTCTTTTTTGAACCCTGTTATAGTCTTGGCCTTCACAACATCCTCTGGCAAGGCATTCCACAGGTTGACTGTGTGTTGTGTGAAAAAATACTTCCTTTCGTTTGTTTTAAGCCTGCTACCTATTAATTTCATTTGGTGACCCCCAGTTCTTGCGTTGTGAGGAGGAGTAAATAACATTTCCTTATTTATTTTCTCCACACCAGTCATGATTTTATAGAGTTCAATCATATCCCTCCTTAGTCATCTCTTTTCCAAACTGAAAAGTCCCAGTCTGATTAATTGCTCCTCATATGGAAGCCGTTCCATGCCCCTTATAATTTTTGTTGCCCTTTTCTGAACCTTTTCCAATTCCAATATATCTTTTTTTGAGATGGGGTGACCAGACCTGCACACAGTATTCAAGATGTGGGCATACCATGGATTTATACAGAGAAAATACGATATTTTCTGTCATCTTATCTATCCCTTTCTTAATGATTCCCAACATTCTGTTCGCTTTTTTGTCCGCTGCTGCACGTTGAGTGGATGTTTTCAGAGAATTATCCACAATGACTCCAAGATCTCTTTCTTGAGTGGTAACAGCTAATTTAGACCCCATCATTTTATCTGTATAGTTGGGATTATGTTTTCCAGTGTGCATTACTTTGCATTTATCAGCATCGAATTTCATCTGCCATTTTGTCTCCCAGTCACCCAGTTTTGAGAGATCCTTTTGTAGCTCTTCACAGTCTGCCTGGGACTTAACTATCTTGAGTAGTTTTGTGTCATCTGTAAATTTTGCCACCTCACTGTTTACCCCTTTTTCCAGATCATTTATGAGTATGTCGAATAGGACTGGTCCTAGAACAGACCCCTGGGAGACACCACTATTTATCTCTCTCCATTCTGCAAACTTATTCCTACCCTTTGTTTCCTATCTCTTAACCAGTTACCAATTCATGAGAGCACCTTCCATCTTATCCCATGACTGCTTAATGTTGAGAGTGCTAGTGTTCCTACTAAAAGAAAAGGAGTACTTGTGGCACCTTAGAGACTAACAAATTTATTTGGGCATAAGCTTTCGTGAGCTACAGCTCACTTCATCAGATGCATTCAGTGGAAAATACAATGAGGAGATTTTATATACACAGAGAACATGAAACAGTGGGTGTTACCATACACACAGTAACGAGTGTGATCGGGTAGGGTGAGCTATTACCAGCAGGAGAGAAGAAAAACCTTTCGTAGTGGTGATCAAGGTGGGCCATTTCCAGCAGTTGGCAAGAACGCGTGAGGAACAGTATGGGGGGAAAATAAACACGGGAAAATAGTTTTATTTTGTATAATGGTGCATCCACTCCCAGTCTTTATTCAAGCCTAATGTAATGGTGTCCAGTTTGCAAATTAATTCCAATTCAGCAGTCTCTCACTGGAGTCTGTTTCTGAAGTTTTTTTTGTTGAAGAATTACGACTTTTAGGTCTGTAATCGAGTGACCAGAGAAATTGAAGTGTTCTCAGACTGGTTTTTGAATGTTAATTCTTGACGTCTGATTTGTGTCCATTTAGTCTTTTACGTAGAGACTGTCCAGTTTGACCAATGTACATGGCAGAGGGGCATTGCTGGCACATGATGGCATATATCACATTGGTAGATGTGCAGGTGAACGAGCCTCTGATAGTGTGGCTGATGTGATTAGGCCTTATGATGGTGTCCCCTGAATAGATATGTGGACACAGTTAGCAACGGGCTTTGTTGCAAGGATAGGTTCCTGGGTTAGTGTTTTTGTTGTATGGTGTGTGGTTGCTGGTGAGTATTTGCTTCAGGTTTGGGGGCTGTCTGTAAGCAAGGACTGGTTTGTCTCCCAAGATCTGTGAGAGTGATGGGTCGTCCTTCAGGATAGGTTGTAGATCCTTGATGATGCGTTGGAGAGCTGGTGCAGAAGGTGATGGCTAGTGGCGTTCTGTTATTTTCTTTGTTGGGCCTGTCCTGTAGTAGCTGACTTCTGGGAACTCTTCTGGCTCTGTCCATCTGTTTCTTCACTTCAGCAGGTGGGTATTGTAGTTGTAAGAATGCTTGATAGAGATCTTGTAGGTGTTTGTCTCTGTCTGAGGGGTTGGAGCAAATGCGGTTGTATCGTAGAGCTTGGCTGTAGACAATGGACCGTGTGGTGTGGTCTGGGTGAAAGCTGGAGGCATGTAGGTAGGAATAGCGGTCAGTAGTTTCCAGTATAGGGTGGTGTTTATGTGACCATTGCTTATTAGCACCGTAATGTCCAGGAAGTGGATCTCTTCTGTGGACTGGTCCAGGCTGAGGTTGATAGTGGGATGGAAATTGTTGAAATCATGGTGGAATTCCTCAAGGGCTTCTTTTCCATGGGTCCAGATGATGAAGATGTCATCAATGTAGCGCAAGTAGAGTAGGGGCATTAGGGGACGAGAGCTGAGGAAGCGTTGTTCTAAGTAAGCCATAAAAATGTTGGCATACTGTGGGGCCATGCGGGTATCCATGGCAGTGCTGCTGATTTGAAGGTATTCATTGTCCCCAAATGTGAAATAGTTATGGGTGAGGACAAAGTCACAAAGTTCAGCTACCAGGTTAGCCGTGACATTATCGGGGATACTGTTCCTGACGGCTTGTAGTCCATCTTTGTGTGGAGTGTTGGTGTAGAGGGCTTCTACATCCATAGTGGCCAGGATGGTGTTTTCAGGAAGATCACCGATGGATTGCAGTTTCCTCAGGAAGTCAGTGGTGTCTCGAAGATAGCTGGGAGTGCTGGTAGTGTAGGGTCTGAGGAGGGAGTTTACATAGTTAGACAGTCCTGCTGTCAGGGTGCCAATGCCTGAGATGATGGGGCGTCCAGGATTCCCAGATTTATGGATCTTGGGTAGCAGAAAACCCCAGCTTGGGGTTCTAGGGGTGTGTCTGTGCGGATTTGTTCTTGTGCGTTTTCAGGGAGTTTCTTGAGCAAATGGTGTAGTTTCTTTTGGTAACTGTGTGTTCCTACTGTAGCACTGTATGAAAAGAGCTTCTTCATGTTTCTCATTTGGACCAGTAATGCTAGGGATTGAGCATTTCTGCCCCTAACTCTTCCACTGAAATCCCTGGGAAACAGGAGTTTCTTCACTCCTTCTGCACTATGGGAGAATGGGAAGTTAGTCTACTTGAACTAACATCTAAGCATATTTGCATGGCTTGCTGCCAAACCCTGGAATTAAACATATGGTTCAATGTATAAACTGAACCCTGCAGATTTCACACTCTGCTCTTGCGCATGAACTGCCACTTTTGTTTGACAGCAGTCCACGCTCACTTGAAATGTGAGTCTCCATCACCCTCTGTTTCTAAGCCCACTGATAAACTATGGAATTTTTACATCCATGTCAAACTTAAGGGTATGTCTACACTGCAAGCAGTACAGTGGCACAACTGCAGTGCTGCAGCTTGTCATACTCTGCTTTAAGTGGTGGTTATTCCCTACAGTTACAATTTTCCCTTTCCACTGTCTTTAGAGTAGTTAAGATCATGTGGAGTTTGATAGCATCCCTTTTGAACGACAGAACCTTGTGTTAAGGTATCGTATTTCAGAAATTAACTTGAGTGGTCTTTTCAATGTAATATGTGCAACTTACTGAGTGTATATACTAGAAGCATGACGTACAGGTTCAATAAAAATGTTTTTACACAGAAATGTAAAATTACCCTCATCAACCTATGCAAGTTCCATTTTACTGACTACAGTACACTAAATAAAAATAGTAAACGTTGCAGTCCTCACCATATCAGCTGGACACTAGTGAGAGAAGTTAGGGCCTCGAACACAGAGCACACTCATGCCCAACACCTGCAGGCCTCACGCATTCTTAACCTGCTTGCTCTGCAAACTTCAACCCAAATCAAAGTAAAACAATTTTTTGCAAACTGCCACATGCTTTTAGTGCCAGGTATCACCCCCTCTTCCCTCCTTACACTTGTAGCTAATTTGGATGTTGATAGAAGCCGATCTTGCAATGCATAGTAGTTAATAACTTTTTTTTCCTCACCCCGTCCAGGTGAAAAATGAGGTTACTGCACGCTCCCGTATTGCAAGAACTCTTGGCCTTGGTAAACCTGTACATGGAGCTTCATTCCCTTCTGTGTATAAAACAATAGAACCCTCACTTGGCCTTATGAGAGCAGATATTGGTGCAGCTTCTCTGTCTGTGTTTGGAGATCCCTATGAACTGGACCCATATGACAGGTAAGATCTTGGGATCAAGACCACAGATCTGATAATTTCTCAGATGTGTTTTAATGCTGTTAAAATATTTTAATACTAAATACCTGGATGCCTTCAAAATTAAATATTTTAAATATATATGTATTTGGAGGCGGGGTCATAATTAAGACTAAGATTATGTCACAGAGGTCACAGATTCCACGACTTCCAGAGATCTCTGTGACATTTTCTGCTTCACCCCGGAGCAGCGGAGCTGGAGCTTTCAGGTGGCAGGGGGCCCCCACACCTCTGAGCTGCTGCAGGGGGTGGGTGTTGGACCGCCCCCCACCACCACAGCAGGGCTCAGTCTTGGGCTTGCATCACCCCTTCAGTCCCATTTTTGTCACCGTAATTTTTAGTAAAAGTCAGGGACAGGTCATGGATGATTAACAAAAACTCATGGAAGCCTGTGACCTGTCCCTGACTTTTACTAAAAATTACGGTGACAAAATCTTAGCCTTAGTCATAATATTTACCAGTAATATAAAACTACAGACCAAAAGATGACTAGTGGTTGTGCCCAACTTCAGACTTTTTAGAGGGGCCTGATGTTCAGAAATTGCTGAGTATATCCACCCGCTGAAAATCAAGCCATTTTAAGAAGTCTCATGTCGGGCATACAAAAATCATTAGTCACCTGTGTGAAGCTACTTAAGTGTCTTTAGAATCTGATTCTTGTTAACTAACTAGTGACTGAATGTGATATTCTTTATTAAGAAGTAGTTAGCAAATTTTGGGGGTTATAATGATGCAGTGCCTTAACTCTAAAAGTACAATGAATCTGTGGGGTTATATGGGTCTCTTCTCTCCCATTCCCCTTCAATTTTAGAATCTTGAATCAGAAGAAATCCTGCCAGATCATGTCAAAATGCCACTTCTGAGTCACTTATCTCATGAATAAGTCTGAAACCTCTTTTTAAAGCTTAACCTTAAATTGAAAAAGCATATTTGACCATTGTCATTAAAGGGATACTGCCCATTTGAAGTCTAATATATTTTAGAAAAGATTTAAAGATTGTTTCTGATAAGACACCTTCCCTTGAATATCCCCCTAACTTTTGTGATTTTATAGTTGTGTTTATCCATATGTTAAAAAAAACGAAACAAAAAAACTTCCTTCCTGCTGCAGTTTGAGACACCCATACAAACCACTATAAAGAACTATTGTATGCAAAAAGTTAACTAAAAGAAAGGGAGGAAACTTTTTTTCTATGTTCTTTCAGGTCTAGTAGCCTTCGCTGTGGTGTCAATAGTAGATAATTGTTTAAACATGGGTTTTTAAGTTGACAGTTTCCCTTTGTGTGTGTTTGTGTCTGCAGTAATGAAGAGATTCCAGCCAACCCAGCTTCACCTGTGAGCGCCAAAAGGAGAATTCTTTCCCAGTCAGCATTAAGATCTCATCGGCCTGTGGCTAGACCCGTTTCTGTTGGACTTTCTGGGTAAGGCAGCCAAATTATTATTATTTTTTAATTGTATAAAAACAGACCGAAGGAATCTGGGTCATAAGACTGAATGAGCTTTTTGACTCTGGGTATCCAGAATCAGAGCACATTTTGGCCTTTCTTGGGCAGTTGCTAAGGAACTTCAACTAAGGCTTTGTGTTTGTCACGGAAGTCATGGATGCGCCTGGTCTGGGGGCTGCCTGAGCAGCTTGGGCAGCCCCCAAGCCAGGTGCACCGGCCACTGCTGAGGCAAAGTTGGGCCCTCCCCTGCCCCCCAGCAGCAGGAGTTTAGGTGTCGGGGAGATAGGGGTTGGGGTGCGAGGCAGTGCTTACCTCGGGGTGGGGGGCTCCCCAGAAGGGTGACAGGAACTCCCCTCCCTGAGCTCCTAGGTCCACATGCTGCCTCTGCCTGTAGGCCCTGCCCCCGCAGCTCCCATTGGTCACGGTTCCCAGCCAATGGGAGCTGCAGACCTGGGGCTTGGGGTGGAGCAGAGGCAGCACATGCAGCTAGGAGCTGGGGTTGCTGCTTCCCAGGAGCTGGGCAGGGATCCTGATCAAGCCCCACCAACCCTTTTGAACCACCTCCCAGCACCCGCGGCACCCCTCGGGCTGCAATTCCCACCCCCCCAAACAACTGTGGCACCCCCCATGCCACAACCCCTCAAGTACCCGGCATGCCCCCCAGCACCCACCACGCCCCCAGGGCCGCCCTCCTGAGCCACCCTCCCCACCCCCAGTTTTAGTTAGAGGTATATAGTAAAAGTCATGGACAGGTCACAGGCTGAGAATTTTTGTTTATTGCCTGTGACCTGTCCATGACTTTTACTAAAAATACCTGTGACTAGAACATAGCCTTAACTATAATACATTTTACACTAGTAACAGTTCAGTTAGTCACATTGAGACACCTGCAGTTGGGAGATTTTTTTTTTAAAGCACTTAGCCTTGTGCTTTAAACTCTGTCATGCTTTCTTTGGCTGTCTTTCCTCGTGATTCACTGTATCCCATTTTTACATCCTCCTTGCTTGCTCCTCATTCAGTAGATCTAACTAACATTTTGAAATTTCAGATTTGGAAGTTATCCCTTCTTGTTCTGACGTGGTTGGGCCATTTGTTACCTTATATGTTTAAAATGCAACATTTGTCTGGGAGCACTGAGGAACCTGCAGTCTCTCTCAGTTAAAAATTGTGTCTGAGAAGTGGCGTGCACCACAAAAAAGGGTCCTCATATTGCACTTCAGAAGAGTGGGCATATAACTGGTTCTACACAATGCGGTGCAAGAAGCTGCATATAATCTGAGAAGGAGATCAGTAAACTAGCAGATGATTTGGGTGACTAATCTGTTTCCTCTGCCATTTGATAGAGGTTAGAAGGAGACTGAGGAAAGAGTGTTCACTTTTAACCTCTGGTTGTGTGTACTGGGCAGTCAGTGATTCAGCTTTCCTCTGTTCAAATAAGCAGCAGAATATTTGGGACAGTATCCCTTTAATAAACAGGAATGGAATGCTGGAACTGGGACGTTCAGTTGCAGTTGATTGGAGGAGTTGGCTGAAGGAAGTGCAGTGAGAGCTTCAGGATTCCAGTGTGTTGGTGGCTGGCGGAGACGGGACAGAGCTGAGCGAATGAGGGAGGCCGGGGGACAGATTAGGGTATGAGTGAAAGGAAAAAGGAGAGTAAAAAAACCACTAGAGCAAGGAGAAAGTGAGTGTGGGGGAGAGAAGACTGGAAACACACACCCACACCCACCCACCCCACTGGAAAAATAAGGGAGCTCCAGGTTGTCATCTCACTGCCCCGATGGTATGATGGGTTTAAGTGGCTGCCTGTCTTTAGTTTGCAAGCAAGATAATCTCAGGAATAATGTGGTCATGCCTCTTGGCTATTTGATATTTTTCTCCACTTCCCCACCTCTCATTTGGAGGAAGAGGTTTTGGGAAGTCTCAGTGATCCTGTGGGATGGCTTTGGGGGTAGCTTCTTGTTCAGAAGGCAGAATTACTTACCTGTAATTCAGCAGCTCTGAAGACATCACTTGACTGAATTACTGCTCATCTTCCCATCAGAGCTAGAAGGCAAACATTTTTACACTATCTGGTAGTTCTGTCATGTAGGCATAAACTTCTGGCACAAATAATACTTTAAAGGTTGGACTGCTATTTGCGTTGTGCTCATCATGAACTGAAGTGGAGTGCCCCAAACGGCACTGAGACACTGGCACTTAGTCTGCCCTTCAGCTGTGCCTACTGGTGCCTCAGTGAGCCAATAATATTTGAGAGTTATGGAAGTTCTAGAAAAAAGACCCAAGAGTAGGCATCCAGTAAAATGATGTCTCCAGAGGAGACAAAGTATAGGTAAGTAATTTCCCTAATGGTTAGGTAATACAGGGAGAGGGCTTTGTGTTGTCTGTAGTTGAGCCCATTAATCTAGCTCTTGGATTTAATTTGTCATGCACTCCGGTTCTTTTACAATAGGTGCCCATAAACCACTAAGTTAACTTAAGTAAATTCTATGAGATAGTAATATAGGTCTGCTGAAAAGTAAACTGGGGAATGGGGAGGAAAGGTTGAGATAGACCAGACAGCTATGTTGGGAGATATGCTTATGATAAACTTCTGAATGACACATTATGGTTATTAAAAAAATTAATAAGGTCTTGGTAAAAAAGTGTGTGTTTTTCAAGCAATTGAGTGACACTTCCAAGTAGTTTTATTTCAGATGGCCACTGTAGTGGCTGAAGGCATTTGGCTTTAATTCTGATTTCATGCTTCAGAGCATACTGAAGACATGCAGGTATCTGATATAACCACTCACTTTGCCATTGTATGGCACCAGTCCAGAGAGTAGGTATTTTGACCACCTCTCAGCAGAGGGCAGCAGAAGCTGAATGCCTTTTGTGAAGTCAGCTCCTATAAAGGGAACTGTACTGGCTGAGCACACAGTTCTTTTGCAAGCCCCCAATAGCTGATCTTAGTCTCATTGTAATGTAATCCATTTGTACAGTCTGAGAGCAATGTAAAAGTAAGGAAAATGTAACCCATCTGTAACATGCAGGAGAAGTGTGCCTGTCTTGATTCCTGATCAAGAAACAGAAGCTTCCCCTGCGCCTGACCTGTTGGGAAGCATCCTGTCTGGACAGAGCCTCCTCATGATGAGTGGGTCTGATGTGGTCATCAACAGAGATGGTTCACTAACAGCAAAGAGGGCAGGTGAGGGTTTGGCTTCAGTTCTTAATTAACTGTTTCGTGTTTAGTCACATGGGTCTCTATCCTATAAACACTACATATGTGCTTAACTTTGAGCATATACATAAACGTTTATGGGATCAGGGTGGTAGGTAGTAACTAGGGTCAAAATAGTAAGCTTTTGACATGTACACCCATGCTTCTGTTTTAATTGCATAGTGACAAGGTCATTGGAAGAACTGGTTTAATGGGAGGTGGTGGTTGTCACTGTATAAGTAGGGCCCTACCAAATTCACAGTCCATTTTGTTCGATTTCACGGTCATAGGAATTTAATACTTGTAAATTTCATGATGTCAGCTATTTAGATCTGAAATTTCAGGGTGTTGTGATTGTAGGGGTCCTGACCCGAAAAGGAATTGTGGGTGAGGTCGTAAGGAGGTTGTAGGGGGTGTTGCGGTGCTGCTACCCATACTTCTGCGCTGCTGTTGGCGGCGGCGCTACTTTCAGAGCTGGGCAGCTGGAGCATGGTGGCTCCTGGCCGGGAGCGCAGCTCTGAAGGCAGAGCCGCTGCCAGCAGCAGCACAGAAGTAAGGATGGCCTGGTATGGTATTGCCATCCTTACTTCTGCGCTGCCTGCCAGAGCTGGGCCCTCAGTTAGCAGCCGCCACTCTCTGGCTGCCCAGTCTGAGGGCAGCAGCACAGGACTATGGGTGGCATGGCATGGTATTGCCACCTTTACTTCTGCGCTGCTGCTGGCAGGGCGGTGCCTTCAGAGCAGGGCCCACGTCCAATAGCTGCTGCTCTCTGGCCGCCCAGCTCTGAAGGCAGCGCAGAAGTAAGGGTGGCAATACTGTGACTCCTCTAAAATAACCTTGCAACCCCCTCCCCTCCTACAACTCCCTTTTGGGTCAGGACTCCCAATTTGAGAAACACTGGTCTCCCCCTGTGAAATCTGTATAGTATGGGGTAAAAGCGCACAAAAGACCAGATTTCATGGGGGGAGATCAGGTTTCATGATCCGTGACACGTTTTTCATGACCATGAATTTGGTAGGGCCCTATATATAAGTACTGCACTGTAGCTGTTTTGTCATTTATCACAACTCTCAGTGAACTGGATTAAGCAAAGGGAACTTAAAACCCATTTTTCCTGGAATTTTACATGTTTACTGCCTTCTTATTTGTGAAGTACACTGAGCTATCTGTTCATACCATTTACAAAGTACAGCGATGAAGAGCTGGGCAAGAAAATTAAATACTTGGTAGGGTAGGTGCTGTGTTCATATATTCAGGTACATGCACTCTCCTGACTTAATCATTCTTATCTTGGAAAATATCTGTTCATATTGAAAACTTAAACATAATTCTTAAAGCTAATTGTTCTTTAGTTCCCCACATATCGCTGTCCACATATGTTAATCGGTCTATGGCTAAAAGATTAGAGACCATCTCATTATATGGCCTTTGGTGTTTCCAAGTGCACTTTCTACTCTACTAGTGATATTTGATTGCCACAAAGACACCGTTGTCCAACATAAGCCTTGAGCATTTGACTAAAATGGTAGTGGGTGTGGTGGCTTGCTGTTGCCAAGAATGCTTCCACAGGCAAAAGTGGAAGATTAAGACTTGTACAGAGTTAATGTTACTTTCATTTTGGAATAAAAGAAGTAAATGTTGAAAAGATTAACTTTTTCTTTTGTATGTTTTAGTTCCGTCACTGCAGAGAAACTCACTTAGTGACTTAAGAGTAGAAGATGGATCAGGAGAAAATCTTCAACCAAGTACATTGCACTCAGGGACCATAGCAAGCAGCTCCAGTGCAGAACCTTCAGTTTCATTGGGGCTGAATCCTCACACCACCTCATCAAGCTTATTTTCAACATCATCCTCATTAAGCAGGTTCAAGAAGGCAGTGAACCCGGCACAGACAACAGCGGGAAGAGCAGCTGTTAGATTAGAATATTCAATGACTCCTAGATCTGTTCAGACTCTCAGTGTGGCAAATCCAAGCAGACCTGGTCTAAAATCAGATGAAATGTCTAGATTTAATGGGGATTCTAAACATGCAGTGCCCTCTTGCTCCACATTTTCAAAACCCTTCAACAGTAACTCTAATTTGAGTTCCAAAAGTGTAGATGTGAGACAGCTGCTAAAACCAGCAGCTCCCAAGAGGCTTGATATCTCTGAGCTTCCCAGGATACCAAAGATTAAAAAGGAAGTCGTCAGCAGGCATTCGGAATCAGAACCTTCAGGGAACCAAAACTGTGACATCCCCAGTTCCTGTATAACCCAGCTGACTGGCAAAGGGAGCACTAATCAGTCAGGAAAAGGTAGCAAGATGGAAAGCAACAAGTCAAATACCAAGGAATCTCAACAACAGACACACACAAGTGGAGGCTCTTTTTCCACAAATACAGGTGTCTATGGGAGTACAACACTGCTGGGGTCATCCAGGAGTAAAGGTGTAAGCTCTTCTTTTGAGAGCTTTAAGATTAATATTCCTGGAAACGCAGGGCATTCCAGCAGACTGTCTAATCCTGGGTTTTGTAATACCTTCCGCCCTGTAGACAACAAAGTGCAACAGAAAGAGAATCCTTCCCCTCTCTTCTCAATTAAAAAACCAAAGCAGATCAAAAGTGAAATATTATACGATCCCTTTGATCCAACAGGCTCAGATTCAAGTTCAACAAACAGCAGTCCTGAAAGGCTTGTCTCAGGGGTGCCGCTAACAAATATCACCAGAACCATTTCGATTGAAAGTCCCAGAGTTCAAACATTTCAAACTGTACGTCGTTTTACCCCTTACACGGTAGAAAATATCTTTGGGTCGGGTGCTGAATCATCTGATGTTCCATCAAGTAACACAGAGTCTCATGATGATGTGACAATAGAGGGTAGGATTGTGGAACAGATCTCCGATACTGAACAAGAAAAAATGGATGAGGAAGAATCTCAAAGCAGTCCCTGTACTTCCTCTGCAGTCAAACGAACTTCTAATCTGGAGTATTTAAAAGAAGAAAGCAGAGAAAGTCCTCGTGTGTTCTTTGATGCAGAAGACCTAGCTAGAGTTAATATGAAGCTGGAGCCAGATAGCCACTCTAGTAATGATGGGCAGCAAAAAATCCATAAAAGAGAACAAGTGGAGAGAGAGACGCGTTCCCGATCCCGGTCAAACTCCAGCTCCCGAAGCCGGAAAAAATTGAAAAGAAAAAAGACACTCCTCAAAGAACATAAGAGAATCCCATCAAGGTCCAGGTCAAGAACACGCTCGAAGGAAAGAAGCTCCAGGTCCGCCTCTTGGTCAGCTGAAGAGGACTACAGTAAAATGCGCAAATTGAAATCCAAGAACAGGAGGTCTTCTAGTGATCGTTCCAGTAGTCATGAACGATCAAAAAAAAAGAAAGCAAAGGATAAAACGAAAGACAAAAAAGCAAAAGGTTCCTGGTCCAGGGACAGAAAGAAATCCCGGTCACGCTCAGGGAGTCCTGACAGCTCCTCTTTTGAGTTTTATGAAAGTCGAAAAAAGAAAAGGCGATCTGGCTCTCGATCAAGAGGAAGAGAGCGTTCCCGATCAAATAGCATTGAGAGAACTAAAAGGCGGAAGCACAGGAGAGACAAAAGCTATGAGAGATACGATAAAAAAGATAATAGCTCAAGGCCACGGGAGAGAAAGAGATCAAGATCCAGGTCACGGGAGAGGAGAAAATGGAGATCTAGGTCACCCTCTGTATCGAGGTCAAGGGAGCACAAAAGCACTAAATCTAGAGGGAAAAGGCCACGATCTAGATCACGCTCCAAGGAAAGAAAGCACAAGCCAAAAGAGGGGTCATCGCTTTCTACTCCAGAGAAGGATCAGAGGTCTTCAGATGACAATATATCTAGTGTTTTTGTACATTGTCATTCTTCGAAACAAGAGCTGGAAGAGCCAACACCAGAAGATGTTTCCTTAAACCTCCAGTCAGCCAGCATACCCGAAAAGGAGACTCCAAGAGACACTGCTGTACGACAGGAAAATGCCCAAGAGAGTGCAGAGATGGAGCAAATCTCTGAGGAATTTACAAATGAAGCTGCGCCCCCGCTGCCAGAGAACACAAATTTTCTTGCTTCACACGACAATATAGATGCTTCCCTTGAGAGGGAATTAATAGATGGGACTGATTCAGCTGTG